TCCTCCTCCTCTCCCGCCTCCTCCTCCTAATACTACCACGACGACGACGACGTACCGCCAATAATGACAATACTGACACCGGAATGACGATTGCACATCTGATGGTGATGGCGACGATGGTGATCTCACGACCGTTTTTGAGACCACCCTGCGTGGATGGGTGGACGACGATCCTAGAGCCCTGAGTCCCTAAGCGCTGCAAACACCCCTAAAGTCACGCTTCAGGTGGATGGCCTCCAAGATTCCGTGCAGATGGCCAAAAAGCACGGCGTCATGGGCTTCCTGTACACCTCGTCGGCCACCTGCATCCTGGACGGGGCGAAGCTCGGTTGCTTTACAGAATTCTTCTATCTTTCCGTTTTGCAATGTTTTGCAGGATCTATTGTGGTTGTAAGGGTTTTGGCAGGGTTTCAGGTTGTTCGGTCTAGTATGTTTATCTTGGGTGACCGGGCTATGCATTCTTGAGGGGTCTGGCGCAAAAGATTAGGGGCTTAAGGGCTGTATTCGAGAACTACCTTCTCCGCTATCGGAGCCCCGGCTTTGGGCCTAGGAATGATGCGCCAGCTGACGGAGTCGATGAGGATGCGCCATATCCGGCGGTGAACATGGACACTTACACGACCACCAAGGCAAGGCAAAGTGGCTTCCAGTGAAAGAAGGTGTAGATAAGTTGCTTTTGGTATGTCAAACTGCGTGTGGTCGACGGCTTGTCGGGCTGTGAGATGTAGGACTTGGGACAGCTAGCCTCAAGGACCCCTAGATTCGAACTCCCTTCACATGACGGGGGGGGGGGGTTTTGCTCCTTTCCAACATGCTTTAGCCAGTAGACCCAAACCCAACAGAACCCAACTTGGGGAAGCTTCGAACCCCAATTTAAGTCCCAAAGCCCGAAGCAAACCTCTGGAGCTCCGAACCCTTGAGCCCTTCCGGGTGCTTGAAAGGCTTTCAATCTAAATCGAACACCAAGAAACCCTTAAACCCCAGGCCCTATTTCTAAGCCTAGTGGCTCACAGGGCCAAGAGCCCTAAGCCCTACACCCTGTAGCAGGTGGCAGCAGAAAAGATCGTCAGCGCGGCCCACGCGCCGGGGTTCTTTACCGCCGTTGTGCGGCCGTCGGGGATCATTGGCCCTGGTGACCCGGCTCGGGGCTTTTGGGGTTTTCGGTTCAGGCTCGGGGTGTTCTCGGGTATAATTAGGGTGTTGGGCTTACAGCGATACCTTTCCACAGCAAAGATGAACAATGGTGGTGGCAGCACCATCAGTCAAAGCAGTAGCAGCGAAAGTAAGTTGCATCGCAAGCATGGGCGACGACAGCACTGCAGCGACAAGGACGGCTATTGCTAGTACCGACTGCAATTGCTGCAACCGTTATGACTGCGGCACAAACTCTATAGTGAATCCTCTTTGTTCTCCCCCTCCTCCTGCTCCGACTACGACTACGACGACAACAAACAACAACAACAACAACTACTACTACTACTACTACTATTATTAGGACTGCTACTGCTACTGCTACTGCTACTGCTACTGCTACTGCTACTGCTACTGCTACTGCTACTGCTACTCCTACTACTACTACTACTACTACTACTACTATAGAACTACTACTACTACTACTAC